ATTAACAAAAAGGACAAAACTTTGACACAAAATTTATAATTTAACCTTAAATCTTCTTATTTACCTTAAAAGATTCCCTCGCTAAGCAATTTTTGCTAAAATGCACCCCAAGAACATAAAACTAAAAATAGTTATCCTTAGTAACTAAAAAGGATTTTCAAACTCCCGAGTGTTACAAATGGTATCCGAGTCAGACACCGAGCGGTGTGCCAACGAGAACGTTGGGCCCCAAGGAGGAGGATCGTGAGATCCCACATCTATTGGAGAGAGGAACAAGGGACAATAAGGATGCTGGACCTCGGAGGGGGGATTGTGAGTTCCCACATCATTTGGAGAAGGGAACAAGGGCCAATGAGGACGCTGAACCCCGGAGGGGAGGATTGTGAGATCCCAGATCAATTGGAGAAGGGAACGAGGGACAACGAGGACACCGGACCCTGAAGGGGGTGGATAGTGAAATTCCACATCCGTTGAGGAGAAGAACGAAACATCCTTTATAAAAGTGGAAATTTCTCCCTAACAGACACGTTTTAAAAAAAATACTGAAGAAAATCTCAAAGAAAAGGCCGAAAAGAACAATATCTACTAATATTTACGAGTGGGAGCTGTTACACTTACCATTGAATCAAAGCATAGAAAATGTTAAGAATTGAATAGTTATCCAGTGAGCAGAGAGGCTATAATGATTTATTAGTAAAGACAGAATGAAGAAACAGAATGCATGTCACTGACAACAGAAGAACTTGATCAAACTAACCAACAGCTGACCATAGAAACAAAAGAGATGATAAGCACATTCAAATGCAAAACAGAAAACCATACGTACATGGCAACCAACCAACAGTTGTAGCCGACCAAGATCTGGTTTCAGACTCCGGCTCTCTTCTCTCAAATTATTCTATAAGCAGCAACCCATAACAGCACAGTTATAGACGAACACTCCGACGTGCTCCTTCACACCAAGAAACTTCCAATCCAACGCGCCATTCCTCATCCCGAACTTCGGAGAGCAAGCGTTCAGTACGATCGCTTCACCATTTGGACCTTTTTGGCCACCTACAACCAGAAGTTCCTCCCCACAGGCTTTGAAAGCCAGGCCCCATCCGTTTGAAGAATCAGCCCTCAGAGGAAGCCTTCCCAATATATTCCACATGTTCTTCCCCTTATCATACCTCTTAACCAGGTTGCTTAAATACTCCACTGCATATAATTCGTTATCCACCACAGCAACAAGGGGAGGCGCCTGAGCAGCCCTATTAGCATATGGATACATTCCCTCAATTTTTCTCCATTTTCTTGTTTCAAAATTGTACTCCTCCCCACAAGTTAATGAAACAGTGGAGCTCAACATTCCACCGATCACGTAAAACTTCCCATCCATGAAAAATCCCGAGCATAATCTACGCGGGGTCGTCATCTTGGGTAGTGTTTCCCATGTACCCAACGAAGAGTCATACAACTCTGCAGAGTCTAAAACGTTCCCGTTTATATCACTCCCACCTGCAACGATAGCGATCGAACCAAAGCTACCGGAGCCAAACAGACAGCGAGGTAGGTTCATTCCTTGACACTTTGCCCAACTCTTACAAGTCGAGTTATACTTCCATATAGCAAAATCAAACATCTCACGCCCAAAAACTAACAGTTCGTTTCCTACAGCTAACGATTCCTTGTCTGCGTGATGGAAGCACTCATCACAAGGCATCTTAGGCAAAGTCATCCATAATTTTCTCAAAGGATCAAATGCTTCCCAACCCTTTAAGTCACAAACCAGATACACCCAATGCTCCTTAATCCCCAAATGCTTTCTCCACCCATATAGATCACCATTTTTGACTAACTTGTTAAACCTCGAGTTAATACACGACAATGAAGTGTAATCCGATGGGCAAGCCAAAGCAAGGCAATCCATGGCAACATCATCAATAAGACCAGGGAACAGTGAATCACTTGATCTAAGTTGATGACCATCATCCACTCTTCCTCTTGTGTTCAAGTCCAAGAGATGAGGTACTTCTTCTTCTTCATTATCCACCTCCATATCAGTATCAACACAAATTCTGTTTTTCATGTTAATAACTATTCGGTATACCCAAAGAAAACCCAAATTTACGAAACAAAATCCATAAAAGTTAAACAAAAAAGCTATCTATGCCACCTCTCTGGAGAATCCTCCCCGCATCCAGAAAAAAAATTTATGATCCTTGTCCGCAATTAGATACCGTCTATTTATTCCTTCCATCAATCCAACAATTTCAAAAACCTAGCCAGTGATAACCTCACAAATTTCTCCATATATGTATCTATACAATTATCAAGAAAACTAAACACCATTCAGCGCCAAGGCATTCAAATCCAAAGTAGAACTAGAAGCGAACAAATAAGAGGAGGATTGGATTTAGAATCCTGTTAATACCATGAATTGGAACACATTTCCGGAAGCCTTCCAGCCGCTACCCGGAAATTCAAACGGAATACTCATCTGAAAAATCAAACATCCAAAAGAACAAAAAGGAATTAACCACCAATTCAAACTCCATTGCAGCAGTCACACAATTCATCGCAAAAATTCATGGCCCCATTCCGATCCCGACCATAGAAAGTCCCATCGGTCGAGATCGAAATCAGAAAACAACGCGGATCCAGCAGAAGAAACATGAAATCAATAATCCGAAAGGGGAAAAAAAAGCAAAAAAGAACATAACAGGAAGACCGGAAATTTGAATCAGATCCTGGAGTTACCGGTGGACGGAGAGAAAGGAGTTGAGAAGAAACATGTCACCGGTGCGCGGCGGAGGGCGGCGGAGTGAGAAATGGAGAGTACTGAGAGAGATCGAAGGGTGTGGGGCTATGGAAACCAGAAAAAATGGGGCAGTTTCGCAGCGATGGCCGTACATTTGGATATTTGTACTGCTTGCTACTCTTTACCATCATCGCTTCTCTAAAGCTTTCTTTTTTCCTTTTTTTTGTTTTCAACTTTCCTTTTTCGACCTTCCTTTTTTTTATTTTTTCTGACAAGAAAAATCATATTCTTCATCTTTTTATTATTATTATTATTATTATTATTTTATGTTCTAAACAAAATAAATATGAAGATTCATTTACAAACGTAAAAAGAAAAAAAGCAAAAAAAGAAAAGAAAAAAAAAATGAAATTTGATAATTGAGAAACGTGTTTGACTAAAAAGACTCGATATTTAGTTAAGTCATTTCGGGATGTGGTAGGAAGTGGATTCAGTAAGTTCGATCAAAATGACACCAAAACAAACAAATAAAAAAAGTTATATACGAGACGAAAGTGGAGATGACGTCGAGTTCACATAGCCCTTGTGGATTGGCCACACATATGCTATAATTGTAACTACAATGAGAAGTAGAGTTACAAGGCAGATGAATCGAGAAAAATTGTCTTGATTTTGATTGTTCTTTGCAATTGTCGATATGTTTCAAGTCAAGAGAGAATGACAGAGTTAGATAAATTTTATTCGATCTTCATACATAAATATACATATATATAATATATAGATATATAGGCGAAACGTATATGATATATGTAATGCATTTAAAATGGTATTGTAGAGTAGGAGATTAAAACTCTAAAGTCTTTAGACAAGAGTATTTATTTTATTATATGAGCTCACATTATTTTAGCAAAAAAATAAATAAAAAAAAAAAAAAAAACCACTATAACTGCAGTGCCTTATTTATTTTATGTAATCCAATCAATTACCAACTTTATTTTATTTTTGAAAAGTAAAACATGTCGACACAAAGTTCGAAGGGGGACAAGGTTTTAGTTATTTTATTTTATTTCTTTGAAAAAATGGGACAATGCTTCATTAAATATAATTGTTGTTATATTATTTGCTTTTAAATGTTCCGATATAATTTGTTATGACTTGTATCATATATATTAAAGTTAAAATGTTGTTGCAAGGCTCGAAAAAATTTATGTCAGTTGAAACTTACTCACTTGTATGATATTTGTGTTAGCACACGTTCGAGTATTAGATTAGTATAGTAGGCCTATCCAATGACATATTCAAACTTACCAAAAGGTAACGGGATCTTTTATGTAGCATGTTGTCATAATAGGCTCATACACAATTGAACCAAACTCTATAGAGATTTCACCTAACCTATGTTAGCATGACTAGCTTCCACTTTTTGGATACCTTAATTTGATTGTATCAAATAACTCTATGATAAAATTGTGAAATTGTTATAAATTTTGCTCATTGTTGAACTCTCGATCGGAAAGTATATGAGTTGTGGGTCCTCTCATGAATTGATTGATCGTTTGAGAGATTGACCCACTCAACTTGGTTGATAAAAAAAAAAAACCTGATATCATATCCAATCTAACTCATATACACCTTTAACATAAATTTTTGAATTGATTGAACGATAACGTATCCAATTGAATTGGTACCGGGTATATCATAGCCAATCAATCCCAAAAATTGAAGCAATTAATGGTAACCTTGGCCACTATGAAGCCCAAGTATATAGCAACTACAAAAGGTACATGACTTCAAGAACTAATCTCTAAATTAAATGGGAAAGCAACTAATTAAGTAAAGATCGTTATTAATTAACCTAATCCATTAATATTTAGGATATTTTCCATTATGTGTATGTATATCTAACTTTAATAATGGCTAACATTGATCTTTAGTACATAAGATCACTTAGAATTTTGGATTTCATATAGGAATTGGAATGGTATGGTTGTGACTTCAAATGAAAATTTGAATTGTCACACATTTCTGGATCTCACCATTACACCATTCTTAGGTCCAAATGTGAGTAGAAGTTATAAATAATTTTTAGTTAAAAAATGTTGATGAAAAGTTAAAAATAATATTACAACTCTTAAAATAATAATGATACTAAATTTCATCAGTTTTTTTTTTTTTATTATTATATAACTTAGGAAAAGACAATTATATGAACTAAATGAATAATAAAACAGTGCAGATGAAAAACAGAACACCAAAGTTTCAGAAGCTTAGAAATGTGCATTAGAAATTGAAGAGTTTTCTATCCCAAGAACTCACCTTTATTGTTATACAGATTGATCCATTTTGATGGAGTTTATTAGCCTTTTGCAAGATATAATGCACCAAATTCTGATAAATTTCGTTCCCTTCAAGTCTTTTTTTCTCAATTTTTTTTTAATTTTTTAATTTTTTAATTTTTAGTTTCCTCTCTTCCTTTAGTTACACAAGGAATACCCAAGGATGATCGGTAGTAATCATAGTACGTACCTTGTTATTCACAAGAGGCTTCCACAGCCAAGCTCTTTGTTTTTCCTCTACAAGGATCGCCGAACGCTTTAATCGACACTTGAACGCTACAACTTTTCGATCCAATGCAAGCCTGTAGACAAGAGTAAGCATTAATGAGTACAATCCAATTCTAACACATGCACAGAAACACCATAAATTTCTTATGTATCAGAAAATATAAAACCTTTTGTACAGTGGAGAGTGCATTTTGGCTGCGGCATTGACCTTGGCTAAAGCTCCCACAAGTTCCAAGAGGAGTCCCAAAACTTGCAAATTTTATAGAAGAAATGATCTGATTGGGAGATGGACACTCAAGAGAGAGTACGGGTCCTGATTTCTGTAGTTTGGTGTCTGAGCTCCACATATCTACAGGTGGTGGATGGGACTCAGATACATGGGCACACACAGATTCAATCTGTTTCAAAGCGAACGACAATCGAGTTGGATCGCTGCCAATTTCCTCAAAGAGTACTAGGGTGTTGCCAGTAGGTTTCAACCAGGATTGAGGTACATGGTATCTGAGAATTAGGAAGATAAGATACAAGGACATTTGAAGTTACTTGGAAACCTTATCCTCAAGTTAGTGAAAACTTACAGAGTTTGGGATGGTTTGCCACAGTTCTTAAGGCATTTGCTTGATCTATAAGCTCCTCTGTAATTGCAATATGCGGTACAATGACCGGAGGCAATATATGATGGCCAATAACGGCCAATACTTTGTCCGTTTATCCATGCTTCGCCCTTTCCAAAGCCTGTGAAGTCTAATGCAACAGGGTCACTACCATCAGGGGCATCGAACGTGGTCTGAATCAACAGATTGTTAGTGGAAATCCATGTGCCTCATACTTTACCTTCTGTGGTTTAACTCACTTACACGTCATTCACAGAAAAAGCTACCCATAATTATGGTGCATACTTGAATAAGATGATGAAATGTTAACATGCAAGCAATTGTCTTAGCAGAACAACATCTAACAAACTTGTATGAGAAGTATCTTCGAGCCTATACACGAAATAACAACAATAACTTGCCGGTAGGAAAAGAGGTAAGAAAAGAGGCCATGCAAACGTATTTCCAACCTTTATAAAAGAAAGACGAATGGAAAACGTATTTTCAACCTTTATGAAAGAAAGACTAATAGAGACTAAATATTTTTAGAAGAGTTAACCAGAATCAATTTTAAACTTTATTCAAAATAAAGGACTAAATTGAACATTTGAAAGTATAGAGAAAATTCAAAATACAAGACCAAAATCATATTTATATAACCGAGAAAATGTTCAACATAATCTAGACCAATCTTGTAAAACAAGGAGTCCCCTCGCTCTCTAGTAGGAAACAACTCTAACTATTTTCTTATTCTTATAAATCATACATGAAATAACCATACCTTGTACCACGTCAAAGGTTTATTCTTAGGCAAGCTTGGTTGTGAAAGCCATTGTGAAGAGCTTCCACTCGACAGTCCTAAATCTTCACCTTTAAGTCCAATCTACCATCAAACGACAAAAAAAATAATTATGAAAAAAGGTTAAATTACAGCATTGATGCGTATGAAAGAGACTACAAAAGAAACTAATAATTAAAAAAATGGAACTAAAGGCATACTACGATGACTTTAATCAAATCATGAAACAACGACTGCGGTAGCAGTATAAGGCAATTAAACTCCAGGATGTTTGAAGAAACCAACCTGATACGTCCATTGTCCAGAAGAGATATCAACAGTGATGCCATTTTTTTGGCTTTCCAGTTTTACCCCTGTGACCCCTGCCCCTTTCGTCTCAAAAAATGCTCCATAATGCTGATATATTGCATTACAGAGTTTGTGGGTTAAAAATATTTAAAATATTCATCCAATAAAAGAAATTCACATTGCAAATTTTTTTTTGAGATTCAGGTAATGATTTCTCGCAAGATATATGCCGGCACAAATTTAAGTGAAGCAGAACCTGAAGTCCCACTGTCAAACTCAGGAGGTCAATTGTATTTTTCCCAGGTACCAGTGTGATGGGGATCTCCAAAGAAACCTTAGAATTGCCTTTACCACCTCTTCCACTTCCTACAAAGAAATTCAAACAACACCTATAAAGCAGCACGATTGCAACAACGCAGGAGTAATTTTAAAGGCATTCAAATGCACAGAACCAAATAATTAATTCCAATCACCTGCAAGCTTTTTATTAATAAAAACGTGAAGAGCATGGCCAAGGGATTCAACATGGAGGACAGTTTCCGATCCATTTTCAAGGAAAGGTTCGTCACCTTTTATATCAGTGCTGCCAAATGGTAGTAGCAAAAGTTGACGAAACTATTTTTAGAAACTGGTTGGCAGTCCGTTGAATAAAGAAACTGAAGATTTAATAATAAATAGAGTACATACCTTAAAGAATACCACAAGTAATCGCTTTGATCTGCTGTAGTATTTATTTGCTCTGAAAGTCCAAGTTTCGCAAAAGAATTATCCTTTGAGATGCCAACTGGTTCGTCTATCCAACTCCAGCCTGAGTCAAATGCTTCAGAAGCACTAGCATCAACTTTCAAAGGTTGGTTTGAAAAGGATGGCCTCGTTGTTACCGAATTAATCTGCCATAAAATGAGGTATACTTCATTCGTGCAACAATTAAGTCAATTAGGAGCAAAGAAAAGGAGCGATAAGAATTGAAAGGAAATATTCACTTGACTGGAGTACCAACAATGACAAGTCACAAACAAAAGATAAGAATTTTAGTTATCGGCTGCAAATACATTTGCTGAGAAGAAAACAATAACCTTTGCAGTATTGAGCACCACATTCTTGCAGTCAGGCAAGATACTAACAGACCATGCTGGCAAATGATATGTATTACCATTGAAAGTCACCGTCGCATCAGATTGGGTATCCACATTGGCAAGAAAAGCACAACATTGAGAACCGGACTTGTAAACTGTCGCCTGAAGAATAACATCTTATTAACCATTTTTTACCATCTTCATTATATGAATGTACAACACACGAAGGAATATGATTATTTACGGTAAGAGCACAGTTTTACAATTGTGATCGAGACAACTTTTCCCTGGATACTCTCTTCACAATTTCTGCAAGTAGTTTCTTCTGATTTTCTTATCATACATTCTGATGCATAATTCCGCTAGGTTCCATGTTAAACTAAAGCCAGAAATAGTAGTCGTTCTTTCGTATACCATGTCAAACTCTAATTGTTTCCCCTACTAAAAGGAATCCAAACTAGACGTACATTTCAACTTATTATTATTGTACTGGGTAAGCTCTTGATAAGTTTTAAGACGAAAAGACAGTATCCGAATAATCTACCTCCAAATTTCGACCAAGAGAACTAACTGCGGGTTCTGTGCTCACTAATGCTTCTTCGCACATCTTTATAGCCTTGTGGACTTCCCTCAAGTGACCCCAATTAGGTTGCCTAACCAGTCCTGCAGAATAGAAGAATAATCGTATAGAAGAGAAGTAGATTGTGAAGAATTAGGATGATCGTGTATCCATATCGTTTCTTTTTTTCCATTTTTATGATTAAGTTCACAACATCACTACAATTCCAACCAGCATCTTCATTCTTTGCACAAAATTTGAAGATATAATTGCAATACCTGAGAAGATTTTTACATCTTAACAAATCAATTAAGAACCAAGGAGTCGGAAAAAATAGTGAATATTTAATAGACGGAAACCATACCATACTCATCTATAGGGGCATCATAATCATAACTAGTAGAAATAAACGGTCCACCAGTAGTCCTACCAAAGTTTGTCCCACCATGGTACTGTATAAGAGAAAATAAAGAAAAACCGATGCCATCTATCATGGGTTCACACGTTTCAAGGAAACGTAAAGAAATCATTTACTCTGTCAACCATAATGAGCATATCACAAGTGGAGTACCATGTAATAATTCTGTAAAGTTCCACCATTCTGATAAAAGCGTGCCACAGCATATGCAAGATCTTCCACGGGTCTGTATGGCGAGGCTCCACCAAAGGAAAGAAACCTATGATAAAATAATCAGAAATCGAGTTGACAGAGAAAAAAAATGCAGGAATCAGTAAATGCGAAAGTCTACCATCCAGCCCAATTCTCAGTCCAGATTTTGGGCTTATTCTTAGAATTTGGCGTAAATTGATCACAGTAGAATCCATTGCAAGTGTTAATCTGTGGGGTCACATGACAAGCACGGGGAAGTTGTATATAATATGGTAAGTTTATATTCAATCAAAATTTGGCCTAGCTGTAATGTGTAACGAGCAATTAAGATTTGTCGTCTACAATTCATGGTCATGATACGGAAAGATTCCTCACAATGGGATCGGGGGCATCAGGTTGGTTGCACATAACCCAAGGAACTCCCGTGTTCAAAGACGTAGCCATGGTTGCCGCCCATTGGATATAGGATTTAGCAGCAGATCCATAAGAAGACTGAACGTTTCCATATTCATTTTCAATCTGTTTTTGGAAGAAAAGCAGCCATTATATTAACCTTTTAAGTACTCTTACTTCAAATGTGTGATAGTCCTGAGACACCATCATTAGACATGAGACACCATCACTAGACATGCGAGCAAAAAACAAGGGTGGTTGAACATAGGTTAGGAATCACAGACTCTACACAATAATATGATATCCTCCCTTCTAGCATAAGTTCTCCTGGTTTTACTATTTTGGGAAAGATGTATTTCCTTGCTTATAAACTTATGGTCATTTTCTAAATTATTCAAGGTTGGACTTCCTCCCGATCCAGATTGCTTTCATCTCTGTTAAAAGGGGAAGAGGAGGGAGAAATAAAAGAAGATACTTGAAAATTGAAATCCACCTGAGATAAAATAACTGGTCCGCCCTGAGAGGCATATAATTTCTCCTGCTTCAATACATCAACAATCTTGGCTGTAAATCGCTTCATTTCAGCCTATACAAAACCATTATTTATTTTTTCTTAATATGAGGATAAACACGACACTGGAGCAGAAAAAAAAAAAGCAAAAGCACCGAAATGGTAAAGTTATACTTAACCTTGAATGGTTCATTATCTGTGCGGAATTTAATGCCAGATACGAAATGCAACCAAACTGGAAAACCTCTGTTTTTACATCAAACAGTTTCCGGGGGGAAAATAAAATATAAAAAACGTTATGGGCATTGCACAAAAGGGAAGAGGTGTAAAACCCAGAGAGAACGGAAATGGAAAGCAACTGACGAATTGAGAATGGAAAAGAGATGTACCCGTAATTCCATTCCGCGCACACATATGGACCAATTCGTATATGTACATATAGACCAGCAGCTCCTACCAGCTTTACGAATTTAACTAAATCCTTCCTTCCCTCGAAGTCATACTGTTGATTGAGAAATCGCAACATTTTATACAGTAATCATGTAAAAATGAATAATAATTGCCACTGTTTGGTAGACGAGAAAACGTAAGAAGACCGAAAAAATGATAACAGAAGACGGGTTCCATCCATCATTGAGCTTTTTCAAGGGATGAAAAACACAACTCAACGGTAAACAGATTTCTCAAATATCTCCCAATCCAACAATTTCCTTGGAACCAAACGCCGCTCTTGGATCAACGAAGTCGCAAAAATGTACCTGGTTTCGAACAGGTTCGTGTAGATTCCAGAACACGTAAGTTTCAATCACATCCAGACCTCCATCCTTAGATTTCTGAATAAGGTCCGGCCACATCTGTCGAGTACAAACACCACTAACCGATTCAGATAGAAAAATCCTCAGAGAAAGAACGTCAAAGCTCCAAGGCTGAAGGAGACAAACCTCAGGAGTGCTGCGAGGATAGTGTATGGATCCAGAAACCAACACTCTCCGCTTGCCGTCGATCACCAGAGCCCGATGATCGTACGTCACATTGGCCGCAAGCGAAAATGAGTCTAAAACGCCTAAAACTAACAAAACAACCACTAGCGCATATCGAACTCCCGTCATTGCTAAAATCTAATCCAAAACAACAAGAATTTCACCAAAAGAACAAAATCCACAGGTATATATATCGCCATCAAGCGTAATTTCTCATTTTCCTCAACACAAACAATTATCGAAATCGCTTACACTCCACTTCCATCAACACACAAACACATTACAAAAGGCTCTCACAGTAAGAATGTTGCTTCAATACTTAGAACAACGAACAACAAGAATGAATCAGAGAAAAAATAAAGATAATGTTAGCATCAAGCAAGCTAACCTACAGAGGAAGGAAACACGGCACCTCTTGATACCTCAAGTTCCAAACCGAATCAAACACGTCTTCTTTCTTCAACTTCTTCTTGTTCTTCTAGTCGTTTCTCTCTCTAGATTTGAATTTCTCTCTCTACTGTAAGTGAACTTTTAGTCTCTCACTCCATAGTTTTCTCTGCCATATTCTGTATACTGTACCCTGTTGTTGCCGTGGATTATTATTATGGAGGACGCGGGAGAAAGAATGTCAGAATCTGCTGCGGTCGAGTCTATGAAAATTAGCGATATGTTCACCTCTCGATTTCTGCCACGTGTTCTATATGTGGTTGTTGTGCAAGACCAAATGAAGCTTTAATTTTGACAGCTTATCTATATTATATATATATGGAGGGAATTCCCTACCTATCACAATAATATAAATAATAATAATAATAATATAAATACAAAAATAATGTTAAAAAGTATTATTAAAACTAATATGACAAACTTTTGAAATATTTTATTTTTTCAGAATTTTAAAAGTATATTTATTGATTTTATTAATTTTATTTTCTTGTCGATTTTTTATATTTGGACTTTCAATTATTTTTTTAGTGATCGATTCGTTTTTTAGTCTTATGTGATGATTGGGATGCATAGTAATGAAATTATTAGTAAATCTGTAGAATTTATTATCATGTTCAGAATTTAAATCAAAATTTAGGATTACACTTCATGACTCTGACATTTTACGGGTCCTTTTAACATACTATATTCTTATTCACACGCATGTTATGAAAAATTTCTAAGAGATCATGCAACATAAAATTGATTCGGTAAAGCACGTTTAGTTATAAAGTTCTTATAATTGAGTCGGGAAAGAAGGAAGTCAAGTTATCTACTGGGTGTCTATTATAATTTTAATTAGTTCATTTTTTTATTTTTTAATCTTTAAATTTGTACGTTTAGCCATAGAGTTCCTAGAATTGAAAATCATATTTAAATTTAATTTTAAGTTTTTTTATTTATTTTTATTTTTTATATTTCCGACAATGAAAGAATCTTCGCCCCCCTCTTGTTTTTTTCTTCTCAACGTTTGACCCATTTTCCTTTTTCTTTTTTATATTTTTATTTTTTATTTTCTTTTCGGTGAAGACTCTTGTCGGGAGTTGAAGTGGTCCCACATACAGCTGTCCAATCAGCACCACTGGTACTCTTTAAGTACTATGCACTCGATTCCACACGATCCTGCCACTTTTATTTATTTAATTCTTAATAAAATTTCATGCATCAACTTATGGATTATGTCGTGGAACATTTAATTAGGTTAAATTATAAATAAGATTATTGGAGTTTGAATATAGTTTTAATTTTCGACATTTATAATTTTCAACGTTTTAATTTAATATTTCTACTTTCAATGGTATGTGGTTCGGTTACACATGTCGTGTTACAAAATTCAACCTTTTTTTTTTTTTTTCTGTTGACTTTACTTTAGTAATAGGTAAGGGATTGTGCTTTTTCAAATTTAATTTAATTTTTTAAAAAATAAAAAGGTAAAGATTTTAAAATTCATAAAAACTAAATTAAAATTAAATTTGAATGATAATCTTGTCGATCCAAACGAGTTCAGTTGAGTTAGGTCTAGTTGTTATATTAATAACTAGAATTTCATTAAAATTTAATTATTAAACATTTTGAGTCACACTGTATCATTAATATCGATTACAAACATAAAATATCTTTAATCTTCGTAATAATCATAAAAGTAAAGGTAGAGTTGGTTGGATTTAACTTTATTTCGGGTTGATTAAGTTGACCTGATAAAAAAATGTCAACTTACAAATCTGCTCATCAATCCAACCATTATGATTTAGGACGGATAGTTCGGTTAATTAAGTTATGAGATCATATGAACACCTTTATTAGTGGTACGTAACCGTAACACATCGACCTAGTTAGAATTGGGCTCATTAGATCAGCGGTTAACTTCTGAGCCCCATGGGATGACTCGTGAAAACCATGTACGATCATTTTTCTAATTTTTTTAATAGATTTAATGGATCAAATTAAGTAAATAATATATAAAAAAAAAAAAATTGTAAATTATAGATAGCATGAACTATCTAATTTTTTAATTTGGTGAAACCATAAGTTTTGCATTCTAAATTTGCACACACAAAGTGCACATTATTAACTATAATTCACATGTTTTTTCTTTTAATTTTCTAAAAATAATAATAATAATAATAATAATCTAATTTGATCCAAAAAAAATAATATTAATCTTTATTTTTTGAAGTTTTATATCTTTATGAACTAATCAAGATAAATAGTGAAGTTTTACATGTTTTTCAAATGTAAGCTTAGCCACTTTTCCTCGGTTTGAATTACATTTAGGTCGAGTTAGGCATCTTTTTATATCTAACTCAACGACCATTATTTAATAATGAACTCAACTTAATCAAATCATAAATTTTTTTTAGTTAAAGCTGGTTCAGGTTGTCCCAATCCAATCTAACTATAATTTTTTTGAATTAAAATTGGTTCAGGTTGTTGAGTCATTAATTCAAATTTATGTTTTTAATAAAAGTAAAATGTTAGTTCGTGAAATATCCATTTAATTATTAATTTGTAACTCAATTTTAATATATATTTTGGAAAAATTCCTCCAAAATAGTGAAAATTTATCGATCAGAGAATAAATAATAATAATAATAAATAATTATAAAATTAAATAAAAAATAAAATAAATATAGAAAAAAAAAAAAAAAGGAATTGCTAAAGAAATTAGGCATTGAAAAACCAATCAATCGAAAGTCCTCAAGTTACAAAGGAATGGCTATCGGAATCAAGTCAGACAGCGACCAATCAAGCAGGCAGCAGGAAAGGTGCGAAGCCACAAGACCTAGTTTACCTCCTTCTTGGAAAGGATGGTCATAGAGGAAAAGAAGAATAAATAGTCTGTGGCGAATAAAGAGAGTGCAAGCTATGCCAAAGCAGGTGTTCATGCCTGAAGTTTCTCATCAAGTATAAGGTTCGGCTTAAAGCCATTGGTATGCGGGTGACTTACATGGGGTTTTGACCTAAGAGCCTATTCATGGTATACCAAATCTCTCTCTCAGAGATGGGTAGAAGTTTTCAAAACTTTATATTGTGTTGTTTTCGCACCTTTATAAATAATTAATATATATTAGTAGCTATTGAGAGCTCTTTTTTCATTCCAACATATTTATAGGGAAAGGAAAGAGGAGACTGAGAAGAGCGAACCGAGGAGGATCATGAATCTCTCTCTTTTCTAATGGTTCCGGATTGATTGAATAGGAACAAGATCAAGATCAGAAAAAAAGAAAGAAATAGGCCGAAGTAGTGAAGGGAGTTAACAGAATCATGGGTTCAGGTTCCGTCAGTAGTTCAGTTTAATTCATCTCCTCAAGGTTTTAAAACGTGTGTACAAGAGAAAAATTTACACACGCTTATAAAAAATGTTTCGTTCTCTTCTCTAATTGATGTGAAATCTAAAAAGCATTGTCATCAATCTAATAGAATAAACGATAAAATGATTCAACGACTGTACCGTGGGAAACTATTATCAATGTACCTAACAATGAAAACTCCAGGAAGATGAAAAAAGAAAAAAAAGATAAAGATAATATTTTACATAATATCCACAATTTCAATGTTCAATATGAACTAGAGCATGAATCATAGATACATTTGTATGATGGGAAAAAAAAAGCAGAAAATTACAAGCAGATATGAAACTGACAGATTCCAGATTGCAATTTAACCATGGAGATAGACAAGATCAGCAACCAACAATGGCAGTCAAATCCATTAGGAGGCGATTCCATGCCATAAATTGATTATTGCTAGGCAATCATATACCTTCAGTTTTTCCTCAAATGAACTTATTTTCGTCATCGTCTTCATCGACCCCCATCTATTATAAGATATACTGAAGTTATGTTACATACCCGCTAAGTGTGACAATAGCCTGTGCATTTTCTATGGCCATATTTTATGTCAAACAAGAGTTTACAAGCAGAGCCATCGGTTAATCCCGCTGCAAATACGAAGCGAGTTAATACGCTGAGCAAATGTAATACTCTTTCCTAATCTCTAGAATTAGAAAGGAAGACCTCAAAAAACTGTCCCGTCACCCTTTGCCAAATAGCAAGATCCAAGTGGGTGGACGGACCGGTACAATCATGTACAAGCGAGATCCCGGTATGCCGAAACTGCATTTTTGCAAAACTACTTCAAAGTAGAGGAGCCAACTTTGGTACCTGCCAACATGCTAGAACCGACAAGGGGATCCCCGGGTATGTCGAAACTGCAATTTTGCAACACTATTTCAAAGTAGAGGATCCAACTTTGGGACCTGCCAACATGCTAGAACAGACAAGGGTTTCCGAGTTGCTCGACTGGGTTTCAGAGGACGGTCTCATCCAAATCTTCACATGTCCTTCTCGGCATGCTGTGAGAATAGACTCTTGGGTAAATATTATGCCAGATAAGGGTTCAGTATGGACACGGTGAGCTACTACTGGAGAAAGTTTAGGAACGTCCCTCATGCATGGAGCAGGTTGAAGAGTGCCTAATGGTGTAATGCTATCCCAATGAGCGGACTGGCTTCCGGCGCTAAATGTTGGGGATCCACCGGGAGGGCAGCGCCGAAGGGGAACCACAATCTCATCCATTGACAAGTCCCACAGGAGTAATTGCGTATCCTGTGAAAAGGCATATAGCTTCCAGATTAAATTTGAGAAAGGGAGACTGTGTAAGCAAATGCCGTAACAAGAAAGCATGAAACCAAGAGCAGTTTTTTTTTTTCTTTCTTCATAAGAAACCAATCTAGCGTTTGAGAAAAATGAAAGAATGTACAAGGAGATTAAAAAAAACAAGCCAACACAAAAGAGGCCAAATACTAACTGAAGAAACAGAATGCAATCCAAGCGGATCAAATCAAGCTCATAATTACAAAAAGGTTGGATAATTGACGACCATAAAGACGCATTGAACCTAGCAACCTCCCAAACCTCCCCCACAAGGAGAAAATGACTTCACAAAATCAGTGCTCAATTCTTCCAACCAATAGAGAGAAAAGTATGGATGTAGTAACAAGATCTCTAGAAGTAGAGTAAGAAAAAAGCAAAAATTGTGGATGGCAGGCAATGACACCATAGAAATTATTTTCATACGTGATCATTAGTTTACTTTTTTCACTAAAACGAAACCTCAATATTGCACTTCAGTTATCTGATTGGTAAACTCCATGTTAATCATTCATTTAGTTTCTTATTCTGCAAAGGATTTTTATACTGAAGAATTGTGTTACGAAAAAGAGAAATCACGTAGTGAACCTCCCAACTCCATACAATACCCCCATATTACTTTCCAAATTAAGCACCAATATCTACTTGATTAAATTAGAGCGGCCAAATCTCCAGATCACATCATATAAATACCGCAATCACAGCATAAAGTTCAATATTACAAAATATGACGAGAAACAGGGGGCATACTGAACGTATAGAAATTACCTGACCAACTGAACCAAATCGGTATACAACATTTTCCTCTGTATCATCTGAAGCTGGTGATGACCAATATGAATCAAAAGCCACACCACTGACCTGAAGTAAAGAATCCACAATATGCTAAGGCTTGAGTCTAAAACCCAATAACGATCTTAACAAAGAATAAGGTACTAAAGAGAATGAGATGATACAATATAAGATGATAAGTTTTCTTGTTGATTGCTAGTGGTGCATAAAAAGTTCTGCCAATTTCTTAAAACAGGAAAGTACAATTACTCATGTAAAGTGAGGCAAACGTTAATATGTCATGTAAAGTACATGACTAACATAAAGATGTTGTTCAAGAAACGATATAGCAAAAGGAAATATAATGTTTTAGCCAACCATCAATAAATAGGCATAAATTAAATATCAATTTTTATCAGATAAATTACGATCTTTCTCCACCTTTTTTTTTTTTTTTAAGGAGATCATGAGTAAAAAGAGATTATCATCGCCAAAGGCATACAAAGATCTAAAATTGTGTTTGTTCACCAAAGTAACATAAAGTGATCATTGCAAGCATTCTTTCCATGCACTGGCGGCCATAAGAGGCTCGCTTGTTGCTATAGGGGAATACTAAACTTGCTTTAAAAAGTTATGTGCAGATATTCAATTTCTAGAGGAAAATTTTACCCATGAATTATGTCCCTCGCCCCATGCCACCACCTTCCTATCTTCCATGCTCCATACTGTGACAAGATCGTCTTCACCACCAGTTAAAATATATTTTCCATCCCCGCTGAGAAATAAAATTAAAGTGTTATTTACGACCTTTTTGATCCTTTAGCAGATATATATAGCTTGAAGAAGAACGGGCAAAGATATATCAAATGCAACACAATCATTCTCATAAGTACCAGTATGCACATACCTCCATGTACAACATAGAAGAGCACCATAATAACTTTTGCCACCACATATCAATTGCTCTTTCAAATAGTCAAATACCCGTAAATATCCTACAATCAGGATCAATAGTTAGGGTCCAAGATTTGAAAATTCTTAATCAAATTACGAGAATCAGTACTTAAGAGGATACCATCTCTACCAACAGTTGCCAAATAGACCCCATCGGTTGAGAAAGCAACATTGTTGATTGAACCTTGGCAAATATGCCATCTAGCAATTGGATTACTCTGCCAAAAAGTAAATAAAGTAAATAAATAAACATATAAAAGGGACCATTGGATGCATGTAATGACAGGAACTGTTGATGGAGTTGTATTGTTAATTCCCAAGGAAGAAAAAAGTCAGCAAGAGACATAACATTTCAATAAACCAAGATCTGAATGACAGGGGGGGTCAAAATCATCATTAAAAATGCCATTATTTGACAATATTGCTATATTGTCTAGATCCAATAAATCAACAGAATGAAACAAAACTTCAGTTCGCCTCAATTTTGCATTAGATGTCACTGGTGAGCACATGGCTCAAACATATTTTTCAGGTTTCTGGAAGTTAATGTTGCTGCCAGATACAAACTTGATTCCAGTAATTACAAAGCAAGCCAGAAGAATTTTTTAAAAAAACAAGTTCTGGCAGCTTAATGCATTATAAAAAATGCATTTATATTAATGCTGACATTATTTTGTTCAACTACCTTACTGGACCGTGCATGTGCCACTGAAAATTGAGTTTGATCCTTTATGACAGGGAAAGTAGAGTCAACACTGCCATCCTTACTCTGAAAATTAAGTAATTTAACATTTCAATTTATACTGTGGAACAAATAAGTCAACAAGAGCAGGATACATAGCCAANATAAAAAAAAAAAAAAAAAAAAAAAAAAAAAAAAAAAGCTTGCCTTTTCATAGACATACAAATTTCCATCAGCATGAGCAACAACAAAAGCACCGTCACTTTTTGGAATCCATGCAATGCAGACACATCGACTGCCAAAGATCAAACCAATATCAATAATCACACACATAAACCAGAATCATCAAACAAAACCAGAGAGAAGAGGTAGAATAATGGGTGGATTGCATAAAAAAAAATTAGACAGATCAATATCTAACTAACCTTTTTCTAACTTATGATACATTTATCTAGGAAGATTCTAGATCAAATAACACGATTGTGATCTATAGTAAGTAAGACAAACTCAGGTTCGTATCATCAGAAACAGATTCTGCCAGAGAAACTGCAACCCATGATCATGATGAATACACCACGTCCCCATATTGGTAATGCTTATGGGGGGTGGAGCTCGTGGAGGAGGGCAGGGAATACTCAACAATATTTTGAACAACATGGTGTATCAAATTCCTAAAGCAGTTAGTATCATCAAAGTGAGATACAAGTATGAAAGTTATCTAATTGAACCATCACAACTTTACCAATAGCAAGAAACCAGTTTTATTTCAATATATACACACACATATATATAAAGAGTTACTAGCTCTTTCATTGAAGAATAGAAAGAATCTAGCTAATGCACAACAATGAAGATGAGAAATTTCGCACAAATAATTTAATCTTCAGAAACTGGAGGAGAAGAGCTGTAGCTCACACAAAAGAGGTGTAACTCATATGGTAAATTGACAAGGATGTTCAGAAAACTATCTTTCACACTAGGGAATAAGACTACATAGTTGGAGAAAACGGGCAATTTAAGGAAATATATGGCTAATGCTCTTGCCTGTTATTGACAGTGCCCTCTTTGTTATAATGTTGGGCTCCAACAAGCTTCTTCCCAACATCTTGTAATTGCTGTCTTAAAGAAACCGAGTAGACTACAGTTTGCATAGAGAATGAGCAATTCAAACACAGTTTCTCCCAAAAACAACAAACATAAATCATTCATAGAAAAAACAAAGTATATTTACCATCTCCAGAATTCAATCCAATAAGTAGGTCATGACCATCCTTAGCTTCAGGATCAAACGCATGGCAGATAGGATTTGAATTGCTAAAATGCAAGGACTTTATAGGATCCTATGAAACCACCAAGATAATTTACAAACCCAGCACACACACTGATCAATAAGAATAGCACAAATTCCTTACTGTTACACGTTCGTTACCTTATCCGGTGAATTAAGGTCGCCAATGAAAATGGTATCTCCGACATTAAAAATCAAATAAGTCCCTTTGCCATCGTAGTTGGGGTTAAGAATAGAGTGGCTGCCATTTGAACCTGCAAGTGAGCCGCTCCTACTAGTTCCATTAATAGCTTTACCAGAGCCATTACCACCTGCAAAACCAATAGCTCGAACTCCATTTCCACCCCCAACCCCAAGGAACTTCGCAGCCGCATATCTCACTCCACTACTCGCACTCGTACTAGAACTCAAGCTTGGAGTTGGACCAGCCTGCGCCGGCTTGTCCTTGAGCTGAGCCAGAGTCACCTACAATTCGAACCAAGCACAATAAAAGAACAATCGACAACGCAGAAATTAAAAGAACACTACGATGGATTGAACAATTTCAACATCCAATTGCAAAGTGGAATCGAAAAATTGAAGTATAAAAAAGAAGCACCTGAGAGACTGATTTTCCATGGGAAAAGGGGGGAAAGCCAGGAGGATGAGTCTTCTCATAATGAAGCTTGTACCGTCCTTCAGGGGTTTTAAAATAGGTTTTGAGACCTTGCGATTGTGAGTTGGTGTTCGTCGTCGAAGTCGACGAAGACGAAGACGCCGCGGTCGTCGCCGCGCTCGACATCAATCCGACACTATTGCTGTTAAAGCTACTGTTATAGCCGTTGTTCATCATCTTCATCGCCGAAATTTCATCCAACAAAACTCAATCATCAAAAAAGGAGGGAGCACAAAATTAGAGACGAACACAACACAGAATCCCACAAAAGTCGATTGTCAGTTGTGAGCAAAAATTGAGGAGAGTGGGGTCCGCGGCAGCGATGGCGACGGTGATAGGGGTCCGGTGGTGGCGGCGGAATAGAAAAGGAGGCTTGAGCGGTTTCGCGATCTACGGAGGAAGTAAGAAGTAGAGCGTAATGGAAATGGTTTTAGTTATTTTGGGCAATGGAGAGAAGGTGGACTTTTAAGGGTACAAGAGAAAGAGTCATCAAAATGGACGGCTGTGATGGGCCTGATCTGTCAGAACTGTATCTAAGATGGCAGAGATTTGTTGACCGTCGATTTCCGAAGAAATATCTTGAGCCGTTGGATTCGTAGACTTCTTCTAACTTAATTGACTTCTTGGGGGGTTTTTTCTGATCAAATTTTGCGAGGATCCAGCCTTGAGCCGGTTTTAAAGCTCTATCTCAAAATTTGGATTTTCATTAACCAAAAAGTAAAAAAAAAAAAAAAAAAAACATTTAATTTCGATTAATATTCCATCCTTAATTTAAACTTTAAAATATTTTCATTGAACCATTATTACAAGTTTTTTTAATTAAATTTATTTTAAAAAATCTTTAATATATTCGACTTACTCAAATTCATATTAACTTTGAAAACTGGAATTAATTTCAAACAAGTCATAAATAAACTAATTATTTTCTTGAATTGTGGGCTTGGTCTAGTTATTGGGCTTCGGTATTGAAGCCCATTTGTTAGTTTTCTTTCTTTAGGCCCAGCTAGTCTTGAAGCCCATTTGTTAGTTTTCTTTCTTTCGGCCCAGCTAGTCGTGAAGCCCATTAGTTAGTTTTCTTTCTTTAAGCCCAGCTAGTCGTAAAGCCCATTAGTTAGTTTTCTTTCTTTAAGCCCAGCTAGTCTTGAAGCCCATTTGTTAGTTTTCTTTCTTTAGGCCCAGCTAGTCGTGAAGCCCATTTGTTAGTTTTCTTTCTTTCGGCCCAGTTAGTCTTGAAGCCCATTTGTTAGTTTTCTTTCTTTAGGCCCAGCTAGTCTTGAAGCCCATTTGTTAGTTTTCTTTCTTTCGGCCCAGCTAGTCGTGAAGCCCATTAGTTAGTTTTCTTTCTTTAAGCCCAGCTAGTCGTAAAGCCCATTAGTTAGTTTTCTTTCTTTAAGCCCAGCTAGTCTTGAAGCCCATTTGTTAGATTTCTTTCTTTAGGCCCAGCTAGTCGTGAAGCCCATTTGTTAGTTTTCTTTCTTTCGGCCCAGTTAGTCTTCAAGCCCATTTGTTAGTTTTCTTTCTTTAGGCCCAGCTAGTCTTGAAGCCCATTTGTTAGTTTTCTTTCTTTCGGCCCAGCTAGTCGTGAAGCCCATTAGTTAGTTTTCTTTCTTTAAGCCCAGCTAGTCGTAAAGCCCATTAGTTAGTTTTCTTTCTTTAAGCCCAGCTAGTCTTGAAGCCCATTTGTTAGATTTCTTTCTTTAGGCCCAGATAGTCGTGAAGCCCATTTGTTAGTTTTCTTTCTTTCGGCCCAGTTAGTCTTCAAGCCCATTTGTTAGTTTTCTTTCTTTCGGCCCAGTTAGTCTTCAAGCCCATTTGTTAGTTTTCTTTCTTTAGGCCCAGCTAGTCGTCAAGCCCATTTGTTAGTTTTCTGTCTTTAGGCCCAGTTAGTCTTGAAGCCCATTTGTTAGTTTTCTTTCCTTCGGCCCAGTTAGTCTTGAAGCCCATTTGTTAGTTTTCTTTCTATAGGCCCAGCTTGTCGTCAAGCCCATTTGTTAGTTTTCTGTCTTTAGGCCCAGTTAGTCTTCAAGCCCATTTGTTAGATTTCTTTCTGTAGGCCCAGCTAGTCTTCAAGCCCACATGGAGACAACTTTTCCAAGATTTGGGCAGGTGGGTATGATGTTATTGAAAAGAGAAAAAAATAAAATAAAATAAAATAAAATACAACATACTTTGGCTGCCTACACTTTCCAAAACCGTCTCCTTTGAAATTACAACTTAGTCCATTCATTTTATCTTATAACAATTTAATCCTTAAATTTATAACAATTTAGTTAATTTAAGCAATTAGTTGTCAGTTCTTTGTAATCTCGATTTTCCCAACACTTTCTTTAATCCCGTTTTCTAAAACTTTTTTTCTCAAAAAATGGGGTCGAAGACGCGTCACTTGTGCCAACAACGACCTAAGTTTTAGTTGGCTAAGTTACTCGAGTCCAAGAATAAGTGTAATGCAATCGTGTTCCAAGTCCTGACAAAGTTCAATTGTATCAGTTGCACGCAGAGTTGCCCTTAAAAGGCTAACCGCCCTAAAACACGGCTCGAAACAAATGTGTGTACTAGAGTCGGCCCTAAAGGAGTCTCTCTCTCTAGTATACTATTAATGTGAGATCTCACATAGGTCGAAGACAAGAACAAAACGTGTAGAAATATCTTTCTACTAAACGCGTTTTAAAACTATAAGGTTGAAAGTGATGCGTAAGGGGCTAAAACGGACAATATCTACTAGCGGTGGATTCGAGTTGTTACAACGATTAATGATTTTAAATCCATTCCAAAATAAAATTGTTTGATTTTAGAAGCTCAAACAGGCAGTCTCCACAACCTTTGAATAGTCGAAAAACAGCAACAAAGTATCGAACAAGAAACACATACATAGTAACTTACAAAAGAGGAAAGTCTGGTCGTTGGTCTCTGGTGTGTTATTGCTTGAAACAAAATAGCTTCAAAAACGAGGCTGTCCAACCAACTGTTCATATCATATCCAAAAGGATGATAATGTCTCTTCCCTCAAACTCCATGCAATATTATTATATGATAAATACAATTTCAAACTTACTCCAAACCCTAAAATGACCCATCAACTAATATCAAACCAACTCATGTGACACACTACCCCAACAACTCTTTCTTTGCATGGAAGCTCAATCTTTACAACCGTTCGTTTCTCTCAATTCCCGACGTTAGATTGATGTTCTCGTAGGTCCTTAAACGCTTAATGTTGTAAATTTTCATTACAAAATTAAAGTACTCACGTAAGAGCTCAAACTCAGAGTTAACAAATATTGTCTGCTTTGCCCATCACATATGTCGTCAACCTCACGGTTTTATAACGCGTCTAATAGAGAGAGGTTTCAATTAGAAATAAAATTGAAAATTTAAAGATCTATAAGACAAAACATAAAAAAAATTTCGAAACTATTAGACACGTTTTAATATAAAAGAAAAAAAAAATCAAAATTTTAGAACATTATGGATAAAATTGATAATTATAGTCGTTAAAGAAAATGTGCAATAATTCATTTTGACTTTTAGCAATGATTTATTGGACTCCAACCACTCTTTAAACTAAAAATTCCACCAATATGTGACAACGGAATATAAAATTAATAGTAAAAAATAACATAAACTCAAACAATATTGTCTGTTTTTAGGCGGTTTAGGTAAGGACGGTTTAGGAGAGGTTTTCACGCTTTTATAAAAGCAAAAATTTTATTAATAACAAATTACGGTATATAATTTAAATATTTTGAAAATAATATTTTTCTATTTTAAAAGATTAACTGATACTTTTCATAATTAGAAACATAAACGAGATTCGAATCTTTACACTATAGATGTCGTTAAACCCAAAATAAGAACCGACCCGAGTTATGAAAAGAGTCGAATTCAATAGCTAAGTGTGTATCAAATCATAATATTGATTATCTTGGACACCACTCTAGAGTTGTTCAAACAACCTAGCTGGCCCTCCTTAGATTGCATATGTCCATATCCAATTGAACAACCAAACACTTCACTTTTTCCCACTATATATACACACATTCCATGATAATCCCTTCACAAAACACAAAATCACCCACCAATTGCCTTTAAACACCAAGAAAAATGGGTGTTTTTACACACAAATTCCTCTTCTTTTGCTTCGTTTTGTCATGTTTGATTCCTAATTTGGTGTTTGCAGGCATTACCAGACATTATAAGTTTGAAGTATACCTCTAAGTGTTCTTCCTTTGTCATTTTGATTCTTTGATTGGTTTAGTTGATATCAAATTGTGATCTTTGAGTATCATTTTCAGATTAAGCTGCAAAATGTGACTCGTTTGTGCCACACCAAGAGCATGGTGACCGTCAATGGCAAGTTCCCTGGCCCTCGTATCGTTGCTAGGGAGGGCGATCGTCTCCTTATCGAAGTGGTTAACCATGTTTCTAACAACATATCTATCCATTGGTATGATTTTATGTGTGATTTTGAAGCTTATTGATGAACAAAAGTTGTAACTTTTTTAGATTGTTTATGTGGGTTAGGCATGGAATTAGGCAACTCAGATCAGGGTGGGCTGATGGACCAGCTTATATCACTCAATGTCCTATTCAAACTGGTCAAAGTTATGTGTATAATTACACCATTATTGGCCAAAGAGGAACTCTCTTCTGGCATGCTCATATTTCTTGGCTAAGATCAACACTCTATGGACCTATAATCATCCTTCCCAAACATGGAGTTCCTTACCCATTTGCTAAACCCTACAAGGAGTTCCCGATCCTCTTCGGTAACGTCTTTATTCTCATACAGGTCTTGTTTGATAACGATTTCGTACTTACCCTGAACATGTTTTGTTATTTTTCAAAGGGGAATGGTGGAATTCCGACACGGAAGCTGTTATTGCCCAAGCTTTGCAAACGGGTGGAGGTCCTAATGTATCAGACGCTTATACAATGAACGGTCTCCCTGGACCTTTGTATAATTGCTCCACCAAAGGTATTACAATTGAAGATTGTTGGGAGGGAGTTCTCTTCCACATTGATTAATTTAGGGAATGATCATGCGTTTATAAGTAAGAAATACATTTTCTGGAAAGTCACGAGAGCTTATGCTCAAAGTGGACAATATTATACTATTATGGAGAGTCGTGATTCCTAATCAGAAGGGTTTTTTAAACACCTAAAAAGGTACGATTTTGATACGATTTCTTGGCTTGCAGATACATTAAAGCTGAAAGTGAAGCCGGGAAGAACATATCTACTTCGATTAGTGAATGCAGCATTAAACGATGAATTGTTCTTCAGCATAGCAAATCATACACTCAAGATTGTTGATGTTGATGCCATTTATGTCAAACCCTTTGAAACAAACACTCTTTTGATAGCGCCAGGACAAACCACAAATGTTCTTCTTCAAACAAAACCCCATTATCCAAACGCCACATTTTTCATGCTTGCACGACCATACGTAACGGGCCAAGGAACATTCGACAATTCCACGGTTGCTGGAATCCTAGAATATGAAACATCTTCATTAATTTCCACAAAAAATCTCCCAATTTACAAACCAAATCTTCCACCACTTAATGACACTTCCTTTGCCACAAATTTCACCAACAAACTTAGAAGCTTAGCCAACTCCCAATTTCCAGCCAATGTTCCTCAAAACATCGACAAGAAATTCCTCTTCACGGTCGGGCTTGGGACAAACCCTTGTAACCAAAAGAACCAAACATGTCAAGGACCAAATGGAACCATGTTTGCAGCTTCAATTAACAACATATCCTTTGTAATGCCTAATACTGCGCTTCTTCAAGCTCATTATTCAGGGCAATCCAAAGGGGTTTATAGCCCTTTTTTTCCTAATCAACCCTTAATTCCATTTAATTACACTGGAAACCCTCCTAATAACACCATGGTTGGTAATGGCACAAAGCTTGAGGTTTTGCCTTTTAATACAACTGTGGAGCTTATATTGCAAGATACAAGTATTCTTGGAGCTGAGAGCCATCCTCTTCATTTGCATGGCTTCAATTTCTTTGTGGTTGGGCAAGGATTTGGTAACTTTGATCCTAATAAAGACCCTCCAAGCTTCAATCTTGTTGACCCGGTTGAAAGGAACACGGTCGGTGTGCCGGCTGGCGGGTGGGTCGCCATTCGCTTTCGTGCTGACAATCCAGGTATGTAAAAACTTAAGTTGATAGGTTACAATATATTTAGGGTTAAGTTATATCAGATGTTCGCTCGTTTTTCCGGTTACGATATATTTAAGGTTAAGTTATATCATATGTTCGCTCGTTTTCTAGGTTACGATATACTTAAGGTTAAGTTATATCAGATGTTCGCTCGTTTTTTAGGTTACAATATATCTAAAGTTAAGTTATATCAAATGTTCTCTCGTTTTTTAGGTTACGATATACTTAAGATTAAGTTATATTAGATGTTCGCTCGTTTTCTAGGCTACTATATATACTTAAGGTTAAGTTATATCATATGTTCGCTCGTTTTCTAGGTTACTATATACTTAAGGTTAAGTTATATCAGATGTTCGCTCGTTTTTAGGGTTACGATATACTTAAGGTTAAGTTATATCAAATGTTCGCTCCTTTTCTAGGTTACGATGTACTTAATGTTAAGTTATATAAGATGTTCGCTCATTTTTTAAGTTACAATATATTTAAGGTTAAGTTATATCAGATGTTTGCTCGTTTTTTAGATTGCGATATATTTGAGGTTAAGTTATATCAGATGTTCGCTCGTTTTTAGGTCACGGTATACTTAAGGTTAAGTTATATCAGATGTTCGCTCGTTTTCTAGGTTACAGTATATGTAAAGTTAAATTATATCAGAGGTTACAATATATGTAAGGTTAAATTATATAAGATGTTCGCTCATTTTCTAGGCTACGATGTATTTAAGGTTAAGTTATATGAAATGTTGGTCTCGTGTTTTTTTATGGTTTGAACTTTATGTAGGAGTGTGGTTCATGCATTGTCACTTAGAGGTGCACACGAGCTGGGGCTTGAAGATGGCTTGGTTGGTGTTGGATGGGAAGCTCCCAAATCAGAAGCTTTTGCCTCCACCAGCTGATCTTCCTAAATGTTGAAACCATATAATCCTAAGATTTCTTGGCTTTTGTTTTTGTTGTGTTTTTTGGTTTTGTCTCGTCTCTTGTTGGGTTTTCTTACGTTGTTTTTGTTTTGTTTGGAGAATCATTGTTTTGTCCTTATGGATGAGGCTGACATTTGTGGAAGAAAGAGTGGAATAGCAATGGTTTTTTTGCTGTGATGTACTAAAATACCAACCATATTGCTTCTTGTTCATTAACAAAGCCAAGTTTTAGTTCATTCAAGAGTTCGGATTCTCAATTTCGACACGTTTTAGTACGTCCGTACACTATCGATAACAATTTGATACCAATTTTTTGTTTCGACAACTTATGAAGCGTGAGAATTCAAATCTTAAGTTTGATAATAAATGTTTGTCGGGTTGATTTTCTACTTCTTGTTTAATAGTTACGATCTGTGTTGAGATGTCGTAAGTAGTGATAAGATGCTATATATAGGTTACGAGGCTATAAACAACATCTAAAACCTATAAAAGAAACATAGATTAATGCAAAAGATGTCAGATCCGAACATTAACCTGGTGTGTCGTTGTCAGTCTTGAAACAACTAGAAAATGGAGAAGCTAAACCTACAACGTAATTGATGGACGTATCCATAGCTCGACCATCTTGATTTAAACTTTAAAAAGTATATAAGTGAAAGTAAAGCAATGATAGGCATCTTTTATATTTCTGCTTTCACAAGCAATCCATTTGTTTTCAAGAAAGGTAAAAGGGTTCATCTCAAGATGTTTCTTTTGTAACTAAGACTATACATTTGTTCAATAATTTAGCAATAAAAGCTCTTTTTTAAGTTTAAAATAAGTTATTAATAAAATACTCGGTACATTAAAGCTTTAAAATTTACAATAATACCCTTAAAACGTTAAGAAAGTTCAAAAATACTCCGACGGTTATTTTTTTATAGAAACTGTTAATAATTTATTCAAAAATACACTTCACCCTGAACACGCTCTAACCCGAGTAGCATGGGGTACGTGGAATCCCGTGTGAATCAGCAAGGACCACCTTGCAAGGCTAAATACTCCTGAGTGACCGATAGTGAAGTAGTACCGTGAGGGAAGCATGAAAAGAACCCCCATCGGGGAGTGAAATAGAATATGAAACCGTAAGCTTCCAAGCAGTGGGAGGAGAACAGGACTCTGACTGCATGCCTGTTGAAGAATGAGCCGGCGACTCATAGGCAGTGGCTTGGTTAAGGGAAACCACAGGAGCTGTACCGAAAGTGAGTCTTCATGGGGTAATTGTCACTCCTTATGGACCCGAACCTGGGTGATCTATTCATGACCAGGATGAAGTTTGAGTGAAACTAAGTGAAGGTCCGAATCGATTGATGTTGAAGAATTAGCGGATGAATTGTGGTTAGGGGTGAAATGTCATTTCAAAAGTGTTTCAAAAATACTCTTCAATTTTTAAATAACAGATCCATTAGTACTCTTAAAATTGAAGAATGATATTCTTACTGCTAGTAGATATTATCATGGTATCACTATCAGTCTCACGGTTTTAAAACAAAGATAAAACATGTTTGATTAGGAACTGATGGTACATTTTTTTATTAATTTAAATATATATTTTTTAAATAAAATAAAAAGTTTTTGATATTTTTATTAATTTAGGCATTAATTAATTAATTAATGGTGGATTGCGCCGACACCAAAAACATTGCATAAAAAGGCCCTTTGGATCCTTCCTCTTCACCGCCACAACACCAAAATAATCATGAATACCCTCTTCTCTCTCATCATCTTCCTCCTCCTCCTCCTCCGCCGCTGTTCCGGCCAGTCGCCGGCCGAAGCTCCGGGGCCGCCGCCGCCCATGAACATCACAAAAATACTTGAAAAGGCTGGCCAGTTCACTGTCCTCATAAGGCTGCTGAAGAGCACTCAAGTGGCTAACCAAATCAACACTCAGCTCAATGACTCCAATTCTGAGCTCACCCTTTTCGCCCCAACTGATAATGCCTTCTCCACCCTCCAATCGGGTATTACTATCACAAAAATGCTCACTTTTAATAATGTTTTTGTCGTTCGTTAGCTATCGTATTCACTATTTCTTGTAAAAATACAGGTACGCTCAACTCCCTCAGCGACCAAGAAAAAGTTGAGCTTCTCCAATTCCACATGATCCCGAATTTCCTATCGCTCTCGAACTTCCAAACGGTTAGCAATCCGGTGATAACTCAAGCAGGTGACGCTTACGAGTTTCCTCTCAATGTCACCACCTCTGGCAACTCCGTCAACGTCTCCACCGGCCTCGTCAATACCTCCATCTCCGGTACTGTCTACACCGACAACCAACTCGCCATCTACCAGGTTGACTCCGTCCTCAAACCGATAGGCGTCTTCCAGCCCCGTCCCCCGCCTCCAGCTCCAGCGCCAGATAACTCCAAGAAAAAGGCCAAGGCCATTTCCGAGAGCCCCAAGGATTCAGCCGATGACAACTCGGCTGCCGTGGCTCTCACCGGAATGTCGGTGGTCTCCGCTGTCGCTGCCGCCGGAATGTTGGTGTGGATTAGTTCTTGATTGAATTTGCTGGGTGTTGTTTGGTGTGGATAAATTAATATTGGTTTGTGTTGTTGTTTTGATTTAGGGTATTTTATGTTTTTTGTTTTTTTTAAGGTTTGTGTTAAATTTATTTGAAGAGAATTATTAAAATAATGTATGATAATTTTTATATTAAAAGATTTGTTAATAGAATTATTAATTGGGTTATGTGTTGAAATATCAATAATGAATAATATTGAAATCTTAACAACCAAATGCATGTGTTCATGTTTTTTAAATTAATTGAAACGTCCAATCAATTGTTGATTAGTGAATCCACCAAACAAGGTCTGAAATGATAAGATTTTGAAAGCTAAACTAATAATAATTGAGTGAAAACATGAACATGTTCATGTTTCACGGTTAGAATTATCGCATTTTGTCCTCAAATTTTCAGCTGGATCGATTCCGTCATTTCGTCCAAATGGTATGACAAAGGCGACATTACCATGGGTCGTGCGTTCTTTGATGTTGTATAGTTAATACCAACGATATGAACGGTAAGATGTAAGAAGTGGCGACTTTGAGCTACTGACAGTAACCTAATTCAGATTTGATACTTGATGTCTCTGACATTCCCCTACGATTCATATCGGGATTTAAAATTTAAATTCAGCACTTAATGACTCGGACATTCCCTTGCAACCCCGCGACATGATCATACCACTTATTGATTCTAAGAGTGAAACTATTATCTCTATAAACCAATACGATATCTTTGAGCTTTTTTCCAGCTAATTACGTACAATTTTGAAGTTCTTATAATTGAGTCATAGAAAAAGAATCATGGGTTTGTGTCGATACCTTGGCGGCACACTTGTCGCCTCCGAGAGACTAAATTACGTCGGAAACGTCCACCGCAAACGACGGCGACAGGCTCACGTTGGTGTTGGGTTTCCAGTGAGAAACTTCAAAGATAGTAATTAAGTCAACTAACAGAGAAAGAAAACGAAGACCAAAAATAATGTGAATGAGAATAATGATGATGGCCTGCCTTTATATGGTTTTATAGACGGACAAAAAAGGAAGACTTTGACTTTTTAGTAAGTAAACGTGATGACTCGACACAATTTCTAACAATATTTTAAAATTTTGTTTTTATTTTATTGTATTCCATTTTTTTTTCAAATATTTCAACTTTGCTTTAATCAGGACCGTTGATTACATTACATCCAAAGATCTAAAACCCATTATTATTATTATTATTTCTTTTATATTTATATTAGTAGCAAATATTCTGCTTATCCTTTTATTAACCAAATTTGTATCTTTTTTATTAGTAATATAAAAAAAAAAAAGAAAAAAAACCATTTTCTTGACTTAGTCTTCCCATTATTTTTTATAATATTGTATCATATTATATTACCATAAAAAGAAGCAAATAAAAAAAATAGAATTATCTAATAAAACTATTTAGAAATTAATATTTAAAGATGGATGTAATTAGTCAAACAAGTGAAGTATACATTATTTGAATTTTGGAAATAAAACTTATTTTTTTAATAATTGGATAAGGAAAACATGCTAACTAAGGATACCATGGTCTCGAGACATGGGAGACACGTGCCCCTTGAAATGAAGAGGTCACCTCGGCTTTGGCCTCATGATGAGACTAAGGTTCCTCCTCGAGACTTAATGGAGTCATGGGTTATCTCTAAGCTCGATAATTTTCATTTCTCTAGCTCGGGGCAAAATCTATATATATATATATATATTTTTTACTTAGTCTCTTATCTATAACCTTATCCATAACACTTAGATTGACTTGTTCGAAGTTAGGAACTTCAATGTTGAAATAATTGACTCTTTAAATCAATTTATCGATGAATACTATAAAGGTAAGATGATAAAATTTCTACCCGACATGTTTTACTTTTTCTTAAGAGTAAGCAAACATTTTTAAATAAATTTATAGACCAAAAACTAAAATAAAAAATTATTGGTATTTATTAGTGAATTAATAATATTTTTCACTCATTAATATTACTTGTAACGATCACCATGACAAAAGATCAAATTATATTTTTACCCATCATTTAATTAACTTTTAATTTATTGGGTCTAATTTACTAGAATAGTTAAGTATACATAAAATTGATTAAGTTGCAAATTTAATTCATAAATTTTTAAGTTTATATCCATTTACTCTCAATCAGGCGTGTTTAATAATGTTTTGAACTAACTATATCTAATAAATTTGTTAATATATATATTTTTTAAATAAGTGATTTACTAAATAAAAATTTAAATTTAAATTTTGTATGTAGCACATTTATGAATTTAAAAAATGTGAAATAAGTTAAAAAGGACAATTATTCTGAAACATATTAAATGATGAATTAAGACTTTTTAAAATTAAAAATTATTTTTCACTTAAAAATTAATTAATCATACTTTTATATATAAAAATTTAAAAATTTAAGGTTAAAGTTGTAATTTAACTTCCGACAGCTTCCGTTTATCGGTTAATTGAGGTCAAATTAGGAAAATAAATGATAATAAATAAAGAGGAATACCAAACATGAAATTTGTATAACTATAAATAAATAGCTAGTTCATATCAAACGGCATTAAATTCCTATGGTTGCTAAACTACACGGCGCCTCAGACAAAACCTCCACCAAGTAGTACAGGTGCAGCGAGCGAGCGAGCGGAAACAGAGCCTTCATCTCAAAGACTCCAATCGCCCCCAAAAGTCTTGCTCTACTGATTTGGTTTACATTTCAATTTGTCAACACATTCATTATCAATATTAGATCATCTCCTCCTTCTCACGTTCAGACAATCAAGATCCTCTCCTTCTTCTTTGGAGTTCTTTGATTTTTATATTTTGATTTTGTGCCGGTGGTCGTTTTAATGGCCGCCGCTGCCGTGGATCCTTCGTCGCTGCAATTCACGCCGACTTGGGCCGTTGCTGCCGTCTGCTTCATCTTTATCTCTCTCTCTCTGTTCCTCGAGCATTTGATTCATCTCCTCTCCAATGTAAGTGTAAACCTAATTTTCAATCGAACTTGAGAGGAGAAAAGGAGAAAAGGAGAAATCGATCTCGGAGGAACGTTTGATTTGAAATTTGATTCGGTTTGATTTTGATTTTGATTTTGATTTTGGCGCAGTGGCTGAAGCGGAAGAGGAAAACGGCATTATTCGATGCGGTTGAGAAGCTAAAATCAGGTACGGTTTCCATTTCTGAAATCGAATGTGATTAAATGGAATTTGGATGAACGATTAACGATTTCGCTATCGAAGCAGTTCTGATGCTGCTAGGGTTCATGTCGCTAACACTGACGGTAACGCAACAGCCGGTATCGAAGATTTGTATTCCGAATAGCGTAGCGTATACGATGCTTCCATGCCAGAGAGAGATACAGATCAAAGCAGATAAGAATTTGGAGATGGAACAATCACGATCAGCCTCCTCTGCAAATCGGTCGTTTTCATGGATGATGGAAAAATTCGTGAGCCTCGCAGCAGAAAGTGAAGATAGTGGTGGTGGTGATGATTCTTCTTCTTCATCATCATCTTCTTCATCTTCGGATTACTGTACTGCGAAGGTACTGACTGAGTCAAAGATGAGTCGAGTTAATCGAGTTCGAACTCAATTGAAGAATTGGAGTAAAAAACAGTGAAATTAAAGTTCTGTTGTTTAAATTAATGATCAATTGATTATGAATTACGTTGGCAGGGGAAGACCTCGCTGATATCGCAAGGAGGAATGAATCAACTGAACAACTTCATCTTCGTGTTGGCTGTTATGCAGATTGTTTACAGCGTCCTCACCATGGCTTTGGGAAAGGCCAAGGTCTTCTCTATCTCTCTTATTATTATTATTATTATTATTATTATTATTATTTTCTCCTCCCTATTAATTCCTATTATTTTAAAAAATTAAATTATATAAATATATATTGAGTAAATATTTTAAATAATATGTTATTAGGTAAATGAAAAGGCAAAACATGTGTACATTAAATAAATGAATAAAAACCCATATTGATTCTAAGTTTTATTCTAGATAATTAAAAAAAAATTAATGATTTAAAATGGGAAAGCGTGGAGTAAAATAAGATATAAATATAATATAATTTTTTTTTTAAAGTTTTATTTGAGATGGTTACGTTATTGTATTAATAAAATAGAAATTCTTATTCTAAAACAATTTAAAATTTCTATGGTCGAGAATACGTTGCGTTAAAATTAGTTTATATAAATATTTATTAGAGGGCAAACAGACAAAGTTTTTTATTTCAAAAAATAATAAATAAAGAAAAAGACTTCGTAGGCTTGTTGTTGACTTTCTTTGAGGCATCATTTATTTGTTAAGACTACAAAATTCTGGAAGGCTTTAAAACGGCAGCTACGGTTGTCGTTTTCATGGCTCAAGAAATTTTGGCTGTCGTTATCATAAGTAAAATATTATTATTTTTAGTTTAATTTAAATTAAATTTGGACCCAATAATATTTGAATCGCTCCCCTATTGAATTATATTTTTACTTTCCCCCAAAAAAAATTAAGGGTTTTTTTTATTTTTTATTTTTAATAGCTTATTTACAATATTTTTATGGATTTTGAAACACTTAATTAAATTAAACATTTTTTTTTCTTTATTTTTGAATGAAATTTAAACAGATGAGGCGTTGGAAAGCTTGGGAGGAAGAAACTCATACCTTGGATTATCAAGTGGCCAATGGTAATTGAAATTATTTAATTATATTTATGGTAATTGAAATTATTTCACTTGATGCTTCATAATCATACCAAATTAGTCTCCAATATTAATGGTCTAATTAAGTAACATTGGGAAATTAATATTGTATCATATAGATGGTGCTACTTTTTGACTCTCATAAATCGACCGCCAGTTAGATAATTAATATCTTTATAGGATTAACTTTAGACTTTTATAAAAGTAAATGAAGAAAAATGATTGGAAGTAAAAATAAATGTTTTTTAGTTAGACTTTTAGTTAGCTTTTAAAGATTTATGTATATCTTAAATGTTTAAAAATAAATGTGTACTATGCAAATTGATATATCCAATAAGTTAA